CACATTGGAATTGAGAGCTAAGATACGACGGAGAAATGAATAACAGTGAGTAACAGGCTCTTTCAAAATCATTTCCATAGTTGGTACCTGTTTTACTTACAGCAATATATATGGGTAAATTTTCTCAGAATGGGTAATGATAAATGAATGGTAGAAATATTTTTCATCAATGGCGTTGGATGAATGTTACTCTATTTATGTATTGATGCAATTAAGATTTCTTATGCCTAAAATTGATTTATTAGCTATACCTGAGTTTGGTTAGGCCAGAAATGATCCATGAATATTATTGTTTCTTTGCCTGCTGGCGAAATCTCATTAGAAATAACAGCATTTGGAAGAATAAGTTCCTTGAAGCAGTAAACGACTAGTTTTAGGCTAATAAATATGCTTGGCACTTAGTTAAGATTTGAAAGCAACAAATTAGTTTTTTTCTATTATCAATAAGTAGAAATTAATTTCCAGTATAGTATAAAAAATAGTTCTTTGGACCATTTTGTTGCCAAATTTTAAACTCCAATTTACAGCTTTCATTAATATATTTTTACGCTTAAAACGTGTTTTTTACTTGTTTTTTTGCATTGTTGCACTTCATTTATTTTACATCAGTTAGTTGGAGGCAACAATTCTTTTTTGTTGTGCACTCGGCTATAACCATGTGACAATGACTTGTATCATGCAAACGTAGATGTGAAAGCTGGTTCGATATACAATAATCATTATATGTTGCTTTATTCATTGAAATATTCTGGTGAACAAATGATTGTTTACTTAACCAAAACGATACCGACCTTTATTAAAACTCCTAGTGATCGTTAGTTAACGAGCCGCAAGGAAAGTAATACTAAATGATTGAAATCACAGTTTTCTAAATGAATGATTTCAACATTTTAACAAATTTCCATCATACTATAGAACTAATAAGTAGTTGTTTAAAAGATTAGAATCAAAGAAGAGCACATGTCTCAGTACATTTGGAGAAGAAATAAATGCAAACATTTTTTAATCAATCGAGAATACATTAATGCTTTTTATAGAAGATATAATTTGAGTTACTTGATCATGATGGAGATTACTATGTATGTATGAATAAAACTAAGAGAGAATGCGCTGTATATTGAGCAATTGTCTGTACCTGTGCTTAGTTAAGACAGAAATTATTTTATGAACATGTGATTTTACCTGCATGAAATGGGCGTTTAAATCCCATAATACTACAGTGTTCTGTGCGAGATGTTCAGAAGATCGAAGTTGGGTCTATTGTGAGGTGGATTATAAACTAAGTATATCTTGAAGTGGTTTTGAATATCAAAAACGAAAAGAGGTATTTGCCAAATTACAAAGTGGCACAAATATTGATGAATGCATTGACACCGATATAGCAGAAAGGTAACATCAAAATGGGAATAGAGGTCATTTAACAAGACAGGGTATTCACAATCAATTTGTCAATTATGGTGAGCATACGCGTCACCAAACCACACAAGAATGACGGAGTGAAATACTCCAACTCCCCGTTAATAACAAGATCCCAAATATCAACCGATTTTTATATTAAATAAAATTTGACGCTTAACACTGTCTAATAATAGACTTGCCTTATTAATTGCCTGTAAGGTTACAAATATCTGAGATCAAAGACTAGAATGTAAGAGTTGAAGTGCCGATGGAACCAAGGATTCCAATGCTTGTGAGGGTGAGGTAATCTAGGGCTTGTAATAAATGGGTGATATTAGCGCAAGAGACTATTTGTCTATTGGTGAAGTTATGAGCCCCACAATTTGGATGGAGTCGACCATTAAAGGTAATACAAAGTTTGGATAAATCTCATCAAAGCTTTTGGCTCTCTTTGTGCCAAGTCTAAAAAAATCCGCTAATTTAGTGCTAATCAATGACATTACATCGTCTAATACGAAACACACGATTTATCTCGATATGTTTGTATTCAGTCATGGGTCTGAAGTTTGCCAGAATAAAAGTTGAAGGATGAGATTTAGAGGAGACACGTCAAATATTTAATTAATTGCCCAAATATAGCGTCAAATGTAAAAAGAATATTTTGAATTTGCCGATTCAACATGAAGCACATATCAGACGTATATATTATTATCGTAATAAATGAAGGAAAACGACATATTTTCAGAATGGCAGATGTTACCAACGAACATATGAAACTACGATAGTGAAGATATAAAGTCAATTTTTTGCAAATAAGAATATTCGATTATTATATACCTGAAAAGACTTCCATTGACGTAACTGGGTAGTCGAAGATGCAATAAAAATATATCGATTTTATTATTTCTCTTTTATAACAATCCCCGTATCATTGAATCACAAGGAAATGAAATATCGAAATGAGATATTAATATTAATGATGGTGATAGTGATGGTAGTGGTTGTTCGTTGTGGCGGTGTGGTGGTTGGAAGATTTTTGATTTATTGTGTAAGTATGATAAAATACTGTTGCCTCTCGATATTGCATTGAATTGTCCTTCGTCATAATTCACATTAGCCTACTAGCACCTAAATGTTGGATTAGAAATTCTGAATTCATGGTAGAATTCTCCTGATGTTCCAGTTTTCCTAACAATTAGTACGTCCAACACATTCATATCTGATGCATAAAATTCGCCTCTGCTACAAATTGTCTCGAATTTGAGTAATTCTTTCGCTACATTCTACTTTCTAGGATACCCATCTTCACATTTTCCAACTAATATATAATTTGAATTGTCAAGGTGAACTTTGTCAACAGATACAACGCCTCCTGTTGCTTGTCGTGTTGACGGTCGCAATCGACTAACTTCTATTCTATCTCAATCAAAATGATTCAAATGGATATGATATATTCCATTGTGAACAAAGTGTGGATTTATTGTCTGTGTACCAGTATCTCATCAAAACAACGATTCCAAGTGGTTTTATTCACAAGAAATGTCGCCAACATAAACCTATTTCTAGAAGTAGCCGCGTGCCCTCTTAGCCATAAGTTGGAAGTCTTCCAAGAAGCAGAGCTGGAATAGACATTGACGTTGTTTTACTCCCTGAACCTCCAATGAAGTGGCACTCTGATATCAGGATGTGAATGAATATATATCTATATACATATATGCATATAGTAATTTCAGTTAAAGTGACATATTTCGATGAAGGTATAATTCGGAGACACAGACATAGATACAATGAACGTGAAGTTATACGTGAACGGGAAGTATCGGGAGCATTGATGTTGGAGAACTAAGCTATAAGTCATAGGGTGGGGGAGAAGAGGTTAATTGAGAGATGAGGTCAAGTCGAACATGCCTTGTACAATTGGTGGGTGATAACTCTTTAGAACGAGGCTGAATACTGGATCTGCCTAACCTTAACTTATAACAATATGACAAATTGGAATTTGGCGATAGAGGAATTACAATGGGCACTGAAGGGAATTGCAAGAACTACTATGGACCCTGATCTTGAATAACATCATTTTAAACCAGGTGCAAGTGGCCCCAATAAGGTTAGTGGGTGCACACGCTATATACATTACAAATGTATAAAGAGAAGAAAATTGTAATGAATTTCGAGTTGTTTGAATTTGTGGAGATAATAGAGGACGAAAAAGGCTTATTGTATTGATGTACATCTTATGGAAGAAATCTCTGTAGTACCTAATTAAAGCCAGTTTTATTATACAGACAATTGTTGCAAATCACGTTATTTCACTGCTGATTTTGTTTGATAATTAAATCGACCAAGTCAACTTCTAAGTTATAAGTTTGGAATGAGGTGGGTCATATTTCTTTCCAATGGAACCCGCTTTTCCTATCGAATTGAGTAATCGCTTTGTTTCATGCTCTCTGATCTCTCAAAGAACAAGCAATCAATAGCCACTGTGTAATATCCAATGGAATATCTACTGATCGTCTAAAAATACTGAGAAAAAATGCTGCAGATCCATTCAAATGTGACTGAAGTGGTGGAAGTAGGAGGCCTTAAAAATTTTCCCCTATTGTTAAGAGCAACCGAGGTAATGACAAAACGGACTGACAAAATTGATATAAGTTATTAACAGCAATGGAAAATGTTTCTTTAAAGCAGTAATCAAATGTTTCAGCTGATGCAACCACGACAACATACCATACAATCTCTTCATCTCTCAATCTCCCGACTTTGGCTCAGCAATGCCTGTTTAATGTGAATGGCACGACAAGACTCATCGTGTGTGTGATAAATGGATGTGGAAACTTTTAAACACACATGTAAAAAGATGAACTTCATTGCCATGAAGCATTCAAAGTCAAGTGGTTATTGGCCATACAAGGACAGGGTGCAATCATTTTAGATTTAATCATTTTTCTAAAATTGTTTCATGTAAATCAGCTGTGAATGTGAATATTTTAATCGCATAAATTGGGCATAACTGATTAATTGCAATAAAGATAATGCAGATACAAAATGAAAGAGGTCAAGAGTTTGCACCCATCGTGCGTCTCATATGAGTGGAGTAGGCAACCGCACAGGCTAAGTCTGGCGAACCGATTGGGAGGACATGGGAGACTCCTCGATGGTACTATCAATGCCATCATTTAAATTCATTTAGAGTAGATGAGCACAGCACAACTCGTGAACCAAATCCTACTAACTTTTTTGCCTAGGAATGGTAAGTTACATGCCAGCATTCTATTAAGTCAACAATCGATCCCCTTCAGCATTGATAATCACCCACAAACAAATTATTACTGATTACTGATAAGTAGAAACGTGTGATAATCGAGTTGGAACGCAAACATCAATGAGCTCACAAACCCATAATTAAGTATAAACTGAGCAAGTAGCGAGTGCATATTCTTTGCATTTTATTTACAAAACAGGCATTACAAGTGAGTGAGTGTATGTTAGTCCGGAGTATATACAAAGCGTTGAATGTGTGACAACATTTAGAAGACACCAACTAATGATCGACACTGTTTCGCACCAACATCAGTGGACGCATTCGAAACCGGTTCCAGCGGATTAACAGGTGTCGTCAAAGATAAATAGATCCCAACTTCAGAAAGATGAGATCTTCGAGATGTAGAAGGTGATTGATTCCAACGTGGTGTTGGTGATCGAGGATGACGCCTGCTGAGATGACTGCTTCGATAGGACTTTTTTTCACAACCACCACCACCTCCAACTCCTCCTTCTCCACCTACACGTCCGTTTGACTTCCTAGTTACTGCCTTCCGTCTCGAACGTGATGAGGATTCTGGGGCATTCAAAGACTGTCTGGGAGAAATGGCTCACTGTTATTCATTTCTCCGTCGTATCTTAGCTCCCAATTCCAATGTGGGCAATAACCTTCCAACCAAAGGTGGCACTTCTGATGTGTCTGTAGACAACATCGCAAAATGAGTAAGGAAACCTTAAATGAAGAGAAACATTTCACTCGTGATGTATGTAGAAAACCTTAAGATGCAAAAGAAGATGAAGAGGGAGGGTGAACATTTATAGCTGTTAATTAATAGCAATTCATTAGCTGTCTTCTTGCTTCCCAGTATCTTGGCTTTCCGTCCTAGTCTTTAGGGCTGGACACCGAATCAGGTGGGTCTTATCCATTTCCTCCTGTAGGTTACATAGAGGGCATGTGGGTTGAGTGTATAATCCCAATCTGTGAAGGTGTTTTGCCGAGCAATCGTGTCCGGTACGTAGTCTAAACTCAGCAACGGCTTCGATACTTGGCCAGTCGGGTATGTCGTAGGGTGCCACTTTCCACTGTTTCTCCTTTGTTCGAGCTTTAATTTCGTTGCACCTTGAGGTCTGGAATTCTCTCCTGATTAAGCCCTTCATTGTGTGGAAAGACATCGGCCGATCCATGCATTGCAAAATCGCTGTCCTCTTCTTAGCAAGTGTGTCAACTACATCAATGTCTGGTAATGGGTTCATGGGGGAGAGAGGCTTTTTGGTTTGTCATCGATTTTTAATGATTTCTTCAGTTCTATGGCCTTCTGTATTAGACCAGATTGCGTTTTCAGGTGTCTTGGTCTATTCTCATA